ACAATTTTGGAAATTTTTAAAAATCTTGAGCACCTCTAAAAATTTTTTTTTGAGCTGATTTTTTGAGGGGGTTCTTAAAGCATGATAAACTAACATATTTTCATAAGAGTCACGAAAAAAAAATGTTCGTTTTTTTTGGGACACTAATGTTTATGTGTAAATGATTTTTGATGACTACAACAGTTTATGATTAACTGTAAGATATATTGTAGCTAAACTTCGAGATAATAAATTTGATTTGAATTAAATTATGTATATTTACAATTACTATAAATTCTAAGAAAAATTATAGGTTACAGCAAATATTTCACATAGTTTGACGAATGTATATACATTTGAATAGAATAAAATTACATTTACGGCAAATAATTCCATTTAAAACTATTTGCGTATTTAATCCAAATACTTTTTTTTCACTGTACGACAAAATATTTATTATTATAAATTATAAATCATTTAATGGAAGTTTTAAAATGACGATTATATTATTTATCTACTACATTTAAATGTATTTTCCACATACTATTCTAAAAATCTAGTCTTCTTTCATGAAAAAAATAGTTTTTTTATTTCTTCATTTGGTTGAGAATAAAATTAAAGACTGTAATTCTTTTATGAACTTAATGCCCTAGTTTTCAAACGTCGTGTAAAATTTTTATAATAAAAAACAAAGAGAGTACTCATAATTTTTCAATTTGGGACTGTAAATTGTTAGAAAAAAAAACATTTTTCTCGTATCTGTAATATAAATAAATCCTATATTTGTTTAAGTAAAGTCATCATTGAAAACTTTCAACCAGGAGTAATATTCACTGCCACGTAACCAGATTTTTGAATTCAGCAGCCCAAAATCCATCAAGATTGTTTACCCTAATAAACACATCCCGAATATCAATATTTTACCGTTACTATATAATATAATAGTTAAAGTAGGTCACCCCATTTCAACCATGGATCATATTTGCGTTGCCCTTTACTTCCAAGGTAGCATTTCTAGTTAAATAGAGGTCTATTATTAGGTACAGAAGTATACATTTTTATTCGCTTGGTTTGCAGGCTTACATGACAATCGTCAGCCAATTGTTGAACTGCTTCGCTGGTTGATGATACCTTGATACGTTCATATGTGCAGCCCTTCTGTCACTAATAGTGTCATCCAGTTTTTAAAATGGTTAAGATGACGTATAAATTTATTCCATTAACACAGTCTAGATATCCTTCTATACTGTTATATTTAAACCAGTACTTTGGTTTAAAAGATGCTAACTCCGGACCTTCTTCTTCCTTTCCCTTCTAGGTATCCAATAGAAAATATTTAATTTAACAAAATATTACTAAAGATTTTTCCGCATTCTGTTTAGAATTATTAATAATAAGTAACATAAATATGTATCTATATAGTCTGAAAACAATAGAAATATAGTTTCTATATAGTCAAAAACATTTATTTTCAATGTAAGAACCGAATTAAAAGAACAGATATTTAAAAAGTTTAGGGCACACATTAACATTAGCGCATTCGCCATTCTATAGAAAGTTGTTAATTGTCACTTTATATGATTTGAAAATTATTTTCGAAGAATATACGTTATTTCTAAATAATATTTCTGATCCCGAGTACATTCCTTTAAATCATACAACTCAACGTGTGTGGTCAATTAAATTTTTAAAGCCGCGAGGAAAGAAAACTTCGAACAGAGAATTCCCATAGGAAAACAGTTTAGTTTCAAACTACATAGCAAATGTCATAAGGTTATACGTTTTATCTGGCTGAATTATGTCACTCTGGCAATCCACCGATCAAAAGTTTTAATTAAAGTTCCAATTACTAGAAAATCCAACAGGGGAACATTAGTTTTACCGGGAAAATTTTTCAGTTCTACTTCAAATTGCACGTTGAATATATTTTCTGCGCTATCTTTACTTTTGAACTAAAGTGGCATATTTAATCTTTTGCGATTCAATTTAAATTTAATCAGTAAAACAAATAAATAATTGACATATAGATATGTCACAAGTAAATCTGAGCAAATAAATTTTAAATCAACATATTAAGTAAATTTGTACAACATATAAGAGAGATTGAAAGATTGTATATAATTTAAAAAGTATATCGCATATTCTTGTTAGAAGGCATCTTCATTTAATTTCATAAACTTTCATATTATCGGACATCTGAGAGAGCCATACAAGAGGTTGACCTACGAGTATCTTAAAAAGACACAAACAGGCCTTGAGTATTATATCTCAGCTCACAAGTGGAGGGAACTTTGTGTTTACAAAATCGTCGTAAAAAGGAAAACATATTTCCTTTCAGTATGAATTGGAGTAAAAAACTATGCTAATGACGTAGTCTCCAGGATATAAACAAGTGTTGTTTCCATATTTCTCTCAAAATAAATCTGAAAGTGGAGCAAATTATTTTGATGTCAATAAATTATGTTGGCAGACTGGGTGTGTGCTTCAGAACTTTCGTCAGTGTTATACAATAGTTTCATTTTAGCTACTAGTTTTTTAATATTACCTACTACTGATCAAATTATTTGTCACATACTATCTCAGTTTAAAATATGGATGAGATATCTCGAAGAACTTTTAAGATATTGTAAGATCATTACCTATAACTTCTCTTTAAAGAGGTATCTATTATTATCTATTCTTGAAAAAAAGTTTGTACAAATAAAAATATCAGGAGATAATTTAGAACCACACTGTGTGGAGAAAAGCCAATTTGAGTACCCTGAAAACGTTTAACGTCTCAAATTTTTAAGTTCTCTAATGAGATGTATCAGATAGCGTTCTATGGGTTGTTAGGGCACTCGTTTTAATTGGCAACAAGAATAGCCACTCAAGGACTTATTAAAGCCAATAATCAATTAGCATGCCCTGGAAAATAATTAAATTGGCAAAGAGCGACACGTTGACCCGTACACTTGATCCGAGAGAAGGCCTCCAAGAGGACTTTGAGCGCCGGAATCCGCTGCCTCCTCGATATCGAACCCCGGCGGGATGAAGAGGCCCTCAGCACCTCGTTGCGACTGACTACATGTTGACTATCTTCTCCTTGAGCCACTCTTATTTGTCATAAAATAGAAAATAGTACAATGCAATGCATTTTGGTAGGTACAGGTAGATTTTTACTACAGGTAGAACATACTAGTGTTATTAGTTTTATCTATATAATGCGAGCGTGGGCAAACGAAATCTAACACAGCTGCATGGGGCCACTGGGCAATAAATCTCAGCTATTGACAAGTGTTGGTAAATTGCCCAGCAGTGCAGTGCAGCAATGCAGAATTTAATGTGGTTCAGGTAATTTTAATTTTATATAGGCACCTTCTTTTAATCATTGATATTACAATTGCGAAAGGGGGAAATAATATTATTACAACATGGCATTTTGAAGACCTTTTGAAACGGAACAAAACGAAATTTACCATCAATATAATAAAATTGTCTGAGGACATAAATATTTAAAACATGTTGTTGGCCAAATGAACATATAATAGAAATTTTCTACACATTATATACAACTTATTACAATTTTTTACCTATGAAAGTCATTAAATTTTATTGCCAGGCGTTTTTTACATGTTCAACTGATTTCGGAAAGACTATAAGTGAGGTTACTTACCTCCCTAGGGAAAAAAGCGATTTTGAATTATAAATGCATATTTTACGAACAAATAAATAGAAATATTTGATGAACATTTACATTTTATTAATTATTATGAATGAATATTTATAGTAATTGTACAGTAGTCACCTTTATAAAATTTGGATAATTATTTTCCTCGCGTTTACTAATTGTCACATTTTTCTCAAAATGATTTGACCGCTCCATTTCAGTCACTGGAGGCTCAATATTATCTGACTGATCTATTAAGTCAGTGCGACGTACTACTAGAACTTGGAGTTGGAGTGTCATTGTAAAGAATCCTGTTGACTATTTCATTTTTGTTACTTAAACTGTCAGCAACATAACTTTCTGCAATTGTGGCTGATTCCCACCCACCATGTCTCATGATTGCTAATATGTCACTCCTGTATTTTAGCCAGTAACGTTGCTGATGTTCTTCGGAATGAATGGCCTGTATATGTTTCAGGATGTTCTACTTTCAAAAACTGTGCAATCTTATTAGAAAGCATAGAAAGGGTATTCTTGTCGACTGGTTGGTTGTAACATATACCTGCTTGGTAGCGCATAAAAAAGCCTGAAATTTCAGTTTTAATATCCAATTTAAATAATCTTGATAATTTCTTGAGAATTTCTAGGTGAGAAACAGAACCCAGGCGAGAAGTAAAGATTGTAAAAAAGATTGTAAACGTACGCGACATACCATTTTTAGAATCTGGAATTGTAACTACAATAATGTCATCGAAATTAACGTTGTCCAAAGTAAGTTTGCCTAAGACCGTCACTACCTTCATTAGCAAATATGTGTTATCGAGACAAGTAGTTCAATTATTCCTATTGCTCTAACAAATATTATCAATTGCATAGCATAAATTTTGTACTTAATAAAGCTTCTAGTTTTATCAAAATGAATGAAATATGAAACTTATTGTTTACTGCGACATATACGCATGTGAATATGACTACGTCTCATTGTAATCCAGACTGTCGCCATATCTTGAAAGTCGCCGCTCGCCTCATCCTGGTCCAACGCTCCTCGACTTACCCTAATTGAAGCAATCAAAAGACATGCCATTACTGTATGTTGCACAGGTATCGGTGTTGACTAAAATTACGTCACGGAATGAGAGGTCTAGTATTGATTCCAAGGTGCTGGCAGCTCCAGGTCCACGACTGCGTGCGCTAGCAGCAAACCACCCCCGGCGGCCGTCTCTCTCGGACCGTCTGCGGAAGAGCGGGATCGGGCTAAGCGGCTCCAACTGGGAACCGGGAGCTGGTATAATTTCGCACACTTTGCCCACCATGCGCAGTGAGTGAGCCCTGGCTGGGCTCGGAGACCACTCCTTGTGTTGGTGTCGAATGTGACACTACAACTATAAGAGTGTTCTGTGCCCAAAATGACGAGAAACAGGGGACACGTGTAGAACCCCCAGGATGGGGCGCAGCCGGGTGGTTTGGCCAGCCGTGCTGCTGGCCCTTATCGCCCTTCGCTGGGCATCTGCCGGGTAAGTTGCTTGTTTTGCTTTACATGTGAACCCGACTGCTTGCCCCGCGATCTCATGGGTGTGTATCATCTCGCGCCGGCTGCCAGCTTCCCGGCCACTAAGTCTGACTGGACGTTTCTCATTCTATCCCAAAAACAACCCTGTGGTGCAGAACCAGAACGAAATTGAAAATCATTGCAACTTCCTAGAGCATCTTCACAACGTTTCATCTATATCTCTGGATTTACTAGCAAAAATTATCCCCAATGCACACTTTGAAACTGGAAACATAGCAAATGTCATTACAGACGTCGAGGAAAACGCCCACTCGCCCAAATTTTACCTCAGCTAAGCGGATAGTGTACTGACATAATCTATTAGAGTCGCGAAGCTCTTCGGAACAAAGTAGTTTCAAAAAAAAAGTTCAGCGAGGCTCATTGCACGCGAACCTTTTACATATGGCCAGCTTCCTGGCAAAGGCCGTCCAGTGTTAAGTACAAAGAACGGTTCGGGAGCTTTAGACTCGGTGACGTCAAGCTGTAGAGGCTAAACGGCGCCATGGGCCAAGGAGGGGGATCGGTTTCGCTCCGATTTCAAAACAAAGAATTGGCAGCCACTTCTTATGTTAATGTTATATGATTCTTTCTGCTCGTTCGAGCACGATATACTAATAGCTTCTGCTGTAACACCCACCGCGGCGCGATGTCGTCACGGTTCCGTGGAGCTTTCTCGGGTCTCTGTTTAATTGGAAGCGACGTACGTTTCGTGAAGATGGAAATTTAAATAAGACGCATTAGTGCTTGCATTTTTTGTTATCTCTGGAGTTCATCTGATATTTGCGCTCCCTTTGAATAGACCTATTAAATAATATTTTCTCAGATATCTATCTACCTTAATCCTACTAGTTCTTACTGATGTATAAATAGATTCATTACATTTTATTTATCTAATAATACATAAAAACATTTAAAATATTAAAACGTTTTTGATGTGTGTCAAATCAACTAAAAAAATTATTAATATTTTGCTGTATTAAGATTTTTTAATTAAATTGATCATAAAACTAGACAAAAATGTAAAAATAATACCATTTCCAACTTGAGATTTATTTTTCCATTCGTCCTTAAATTTATCCATTCGCGTGGTTTATAGAAAATTCCTTCATTTACGCAAAAATCGGCATTTTCATCTTTTACTTTAAACTTTCGAAATTTTTTCACAAAATATACACAAAAGAAATAATACTGTACCACAAAGAACTTCAGGCCGTACAGGGTGTTTATTAGTACTTGTACAAACTTTAAAGGGTGAATCTTTGACTAATTTTAAGATAAAAAGTTCACAGGAACATAGGTCCGCAAGGGTTGGTTCTTGAGATACAGAGCGTTCAAGAAAAATTTGTGTTTCAGCAATTATTGTAAATGTTATTAACTTATTTGTAGAAGTAGTTTTGTCTTAATCTTCTAAATGATCTAAGTTTGTCTCATCGCAATACAACCAATAAAAGACACATTTTTTTCTTGTTTTTCAAAAACTCTTAATGATTCAACTTGCAAAATTCCAACGCAGGTTTAGTCAAAAATGACACAAAAAAGTTGTGGTTATTTTAATCCTGGTACAATACTGTATGTGGCGCCTTGCAACATTAAACATAAAAAACTAAGTAAATATTTGAGTTTCTCATCATCAGTACTCCTAGTTTCCCGAATTTCGCCAAATTGCCATGTTATTGAACAAAAATATAATCAAAATACCAAACAAAAATATTTTTTAGGAAGCTTTGTATCTCAAAAACCCATGTTCACATCAACTTTTTATCTTATTTTTTACCTTTTCTCTAACCAACATTTTCACTTCGTTTTCAAATCGTTCAAATTGAAGAGAATTAAATTATCTAAAAGAGCCTTATGGTGAAATTACCAAAAAATTGTTTGAAGTCCATAGGCCTTTTTAAAGAAAAGCAAAAATTTGCAATTTTTTTTCGTTGATTTTCTTATTATTACTCAAAAATGCTGACGCTAAAAAATTTAAACTCCAGATCCGAAAACTATACACTTGAAGCTTCAATTTCCTTTTTTTTTATTATCTCTACGACCATTTCCGTCCAAGTTACAGCTCTTTGAAAATCACCCAAAATTTTGAGATTTTTTAATATCGTTTAATTTCTGTGCCTAGTGAATTAGTGGCGTACAATAAAAATTTTTCTAAATACAATTTTAACATGACTTCTAGAATTAAATACTTTAAGTGTGGTAATAAATTTTCCTTCGAATTTACTCCATTCTAACTACTAACAGCGTTTCTATGAAATTGTATTCACAGTCTGATTTGAAAGCCAAACTAATACAGTATCAGCAACCACGTATAAGTTTTATTGAAGGGTAACTATGAACAAACCTTTCTCGTTCACTATATCAATTTTAAGCAAGACATTTTTTAAATAACTATAAATATTTAAAAATTGAAGATGTGTTTGTCTTTTGTGCGGAATTAATTACCAATTTACTAATTTTATGGAAATATGAATTCGATAATATTTGATGCTATTTGTTTATATAGGTATGTAGAAGAGGATATTCTTCTTGAAATGTATAGTGTTTGTTAATATTTCTTTATATTTACAACTAAATTTAAACATTTTGTAGCATTTTTTTACTTAAATACGATTTTACGATTATATCGGAAGCGCAGACATTTCCCACACAATCTGTATAGTATAGAGAAAAAGTTGACAATCAATACATACATTATCAATATGTTTCCTTCTAGTTACGCTCACAAAATGGTTAAAACATAATCCATTGTGTGCTTATTGGTAAATTTACGGCCAAATAAATCTTAGGAATACATTTCAGTTATAAATTTGCCTTAAAATTGACCCAAATTTTGGAACAATATTACAAATGAGGTAATTTATCAACTTACAAGTAATGATCGAGGAGATTTATCTCCAGGCTATTCATCTAGATAAAATTGGAAACAAGGAAATATCAAATTAGTAAACCATGACAATTAAATGTGGCAAATTTATTAACCAGGATTAAATATAATTGAAAACGTTTACAACATTTTTATATACGGTTTATTTTATTACTTAATATTTATTAAGGAAGCTTGTAGTCGTTTCCCGCAGAATTCCGCGCGTAGTCAAAAAAGTTAATAAATTCATTTCTATGAGTAATTCCGATTGGAATTGATTTACTGCTACAATTTCATGTTACCTTCATAACGACAAAATACCTTAAAACTGTCAAGGTAACTTTATAATTATTTGAAAACTGCTGCAACATTTAGTTGGAAACTACTATTGATTTATTTATATATAACTCCTCGCTTTACAAATTCGCGACCGGCTTTATAAAATATAAACTTGTAAATTCTGTGACAGAAATGTGTTGTACACGCTAATGCAGGCCCTTGCGATCTGTATGTATTTTAAATCGATGAAATATGCCAACCATAAATATTCTGAAATTTTTCACAAGACTAATTAAAACGATATACTATGCAGTGGGCACCTTTTATCAAAATTGTTTGCATTATTATTATTTATTTTTATTTTATTTATTTATATTTCCTTTTAAATTAAATACTTTTGGAAAATACCATAAAAGAAAGTAAAAAAGCTTTCCCTAAGTAAAGAGTATAGTTAGTAGTTTGCTGAAAAAAGTACTTCAGTATTATCGTAAATGTTGTTTTATTTCTATAAAAAATACTAATATACTTGTGTCGTCACTTCATATAAGGGAGGATCTGTTTTGAGGTGGATGTGAGAGGAGGCGAGCAAATTTTTTCTGGATTACCTTCAGTACAACTCGCATAATAAAAATTCTGGACGAGGTCCGGAACATTTTCAAAATTGCAAAAATGTTTAAAAAAATTAAAAAATACCTATTTTATCTGAGTTTTTTAATTATATCTTGGAACCTATGCATTTTGGAAGAATATTGAAGAGGAACAAAAGTTTTAGAATTTTTTCAAAATTGTTTTAAAAAAATTATTTTGCGAAAACAATCGAACCGATTTTAATGAAATTTGGTACGATGTTTTATTATACTCTAAAGTATTTTTCATCAAAATTAGAATGCCCTCGGAGCTATTAAAATATTAAAAAAATAATCCAAGAAACTTAATTATTTTGCCTATTTTTCATCAATTATTGCTATTTTGCAACATCGGTAGTAAATTTAAACATTTTTGACAGTATATTGTGCAAAATTTAATTCTAAAACTTTTTTCCTCTTCAATATTCTTCCAAAATGCGTAGGTTTCAAGATATAAGTAAAAAACTCGGACAAAATAGGTATTTTTTTAAATTAAATACCATAAAAAGTAAAAAACTGTATTATTTAAAATATTTGTTTCATTACTACTACAAAGAGGCAATTTTTACTTCAATTCTAACCTATTTACAAGCAGCCAAAAATGTTAAAAGGGTGAATATAGCCCTGTATCTCGAAATTAAATGAAGATATCAAATATTTGGTAGTTGCATTTCATTTGTATTCAGTTCTTCTAACGAAGACGGAAAAAGATTGATATTTCCTAATCCGTCAAGTAATCGAAGGAAAGGGCAAATATTCATCAAGTCACGGAACTGCGGATTTGATGAAAATTACATTCCTTGCTATGTATCATTCGACGAACATTTTATTTTAACATCGCCCTTCAACAGAGATAAGGAAAGGGTGCTCCATCAATTATTTTTTCGCACGAAGCCGCCATTTAACGATATCATTAATTCACATTTACGCAAGGATCTCATTTTATTGTTTTATCTCAAGGATAATTAAGCGCGGAAAAGGTTACCCCGAACAGTAATGCGTGCCATTTAGATTTAAACTGTATTTTCATCAGCGGCCGACCGCCGTCCTAGGTTCATTATTTTTTACATTAAAATTATGCATTTGGAGCAAATGTGGTATAAAGTAAACCGCCGAGGGAACTTTTAACTACTTACGTTTACTGAGTGGGTCAAGGCGCTTTCCTGGGGTTCATACTACACAAAAAGTGACTACATCCCGATTTTTGAACTGACAGAATCTCTCTTACGGTATTTTGGCCACCTTGATAAAGGGCGTCACAAAATTTTTCGCAAGAAGTAATTTTGATAAATTTTTAATTAAAAATTTAAATTTTATATTGATTGATAAAGTATACAGTAAAGTATGTGTGGAATAGTATATCAATCGCATATTGGGAGGCCACCAAAACGGGAAATTACACTACCAGGAAATGACTCATGCATTAATTGATTTGTTTCTCGGGCTGTATGGCATGTGGCACAGTCTTATAGCGTATACGTATAGTCCCATAATAAGATAAACCTATAATGCAATGCTAATAAAAAAAACAAAATTAATTTAACTTAGTTTACCTTGAGCATAAGATATTCCGAGTCATGTGCTTCCTTAAAAAAGTAATATATTGTTCTTGAGTCAAAGTTTTAGACTTTTTGGTCAGGTAATTTATACAATGTTTAAAAAATGTTCGAACTTTATTAGTCCAGGGAACTCAAGAAACAAAAGTTATATAGTGCCGATGAGCGCTTTTGCCAAGGGGGTGGAAGCCACCCCTCCTAGGGGGTGAATATTAAAATATTGAAAATAACCCCAAGTATCGATAAAGCAATCAATTTTAAGCAAAAAGTATCCTATGAACATTTTTCGATAATTCAATATTTGCTGGGGTTTTCAGTAATTTTTGTCGAAAAAAGACACTATATGAACAAATAAACATCACGAAGAAAATGAAGCTTATAGAAAAAGAAAAGGATTGCGTTTTTTTTTTTTTCATGGTTGAAGATAATTTCATGTCTGACAGAAACTAAATTGGAAGCATATAACGTAAAATAACTAAAAAAAAATCTATTTTTCAAGAAAAATGCACAGAACATTTTTTAAAGTACTTTAAAATGGACTTGACTTTAAGTCATTAGCATAAAAATTAAGAGAGTTGTGATCAAAATAAAACTGTTAATATGTTGGGCGGATTTGTAGAAGAGACCCCGAATATTTACTAAAGCATTAAAAAACATTGTTTAAGCTTAGACTACAATTTGTTTATTTCTCTAAGAGACAGATTATCTACGTACAATACAATGAGAATTCTTCATACTAGAAGACGAAACTTCCTGATCTGCTATTCGATGTTTACATACTCATTGACGAATTCCCCTTCTGTGTACAATGTTGACTTTGGTAAAGAAAATAATATGTTAAATACGTGATTTAATAAAAGGTTTGTTCCAATTCGTGGTTTGTATCATTTACATATTGTTCCTGACTTGGTTCGTGACAATTTTTAAACTAGATAGAATCTCGGAAGAGGAAAACTGGATAATACTCAATATACTTAGTACCGTTGATAGTTGAATATTCTAGTTTGTAGTTATTTCTCTCTCACTATCAAAAATGATGAAACAGTGAATAGTGTTTACACTTTTAAAAATATCGATATAAGTCGTAAAATACTTTCACGACTGTCTGCACCATATATTTGTTAAAGTGTAGAATAATTCTTACTGATCGGTTACTTTTAGGCGTGTTCATTTTTAAACTTATTGATGAAGTCATTTTTTCAAAATGGAATTCATATCCTTTTCTAGCACCTTCTAGCTCTTGTTCTAATCGAACGGTCTTCAGTACGGATGACAATGCAATTTTGCAGATACTGTAAAAGCAAGATCTGTCGCCAACTAGATAGAACTAGATCAATTTTTAGCTGATGATTTTGCAGGAAACTACTATCCTGCGAGTTACTTGCGTGGCCCAGCATTGAATTATACAAGCAATAGGACTATTTGTCGGCAGTACTCACCAAACATATACATACCAATTTCAGACCTATTAGTCCTCATCAATATGCCATATACAGGGTGTAAAAGGCTTGACTGCCATTACTTCAGCATAAGGTACCTAGAGTAGTAATAAATGAACAAAAAAATTGTATATTACAGGGGCGTAAGATAAACAGTTTTCAAAATACAGCGAGTATTAATGTTGGGGAGTTTCATCACAACGTGACAGCGCATAACCTAACGCTACACAGCTGATGTGTGTGCACACGGCAAAATGTAAACAACTTTTATTGTGAAATATTTAGTAAATTTCAACACAATTGTTTTCCAGTTTTTAAATAAATAAAATGTATCTATTTTGTTGTACGAAGATAGTACCAACTGGAAGACTTCTTAGACCCACGTTTATATAAAGAAAAAGTAATTTTTCGACATAGAAATATAACCCCCTAATTTCGGGACACCCTGTATATACTCATCAATACTATAGAAGGCAGGTCATAACTACAGTTATGAAGTGATCATATGCAAGACATATTTACAACAATTTAATAGATATTGCTGATATAATTGAATGTTAGTCTGGGCATGTAACCCGCAGAGTAGTTGTTTCTTGCACTGTCATCAGCTGAATTGTATATGTTCAATACGAAATAACTTGAAACCGAAAACCTTTTGCGCGTTCTTTGTCAACTTTTGAGTTCCTTGACTTGCTCTGAAAGCCGATTTTCATTATTCAGACGTTTTCTCTGAGGACTGGAATTCACTTCCAGCTTATTTTTTTAAATACCGACCACGTCATTGAGACTATTTCTACTTTGCAGGACGCCGCGGGCTGGAGGCTACATGGGGGATGTCAACGTGTCAGCCATATTGGACTCCTTCAGCATGAGCTACGACAAAAGAGTAAGACCGAACTACGGAGGTAAGTCGATGCACGGTGTCCAAGAGCTGTTCGGGAGGGTAGCGGCCGCTCAGCTCGCATAACCGCGCATCTCGTTCATGTCATTATCCGCGACTGGCAAGGTAGCGGATAGTTTTCGGAGAAGCCATATGTGCGTCGACGCTACTGTTGTGTTTTTACTTTAGGTACTTTAAAAATAGTTCGAATTGTACTCGTATAATTAATTCCTATTAATTCAAACTTTATGATTAAAGGAAATCATTTATTTTTCCTTTACACTGGCTTTTTTAAAATAATTTTTAAAGTTGAATAATATGCACATACAGACTATTATTGTTATTTAACAATTATAGACAGTTATGAACATACTATTTTCGTGATCAGATAATAGTCCAGACGGTACTTGTTTCGGGTTGGGTAAAACGCATATGATCGCAGATTTTTGCTTTAACGGCTTCTAAACATCAGAAATCATAATATTTCTATGCAAATAAAAAAAACGTGGGCTTATTTGTTATTGCAAAAAAGTATAAAAAAATAGCAAAAAAAATATTTTTTTTTTTGGATTTCTCGTCGACAACATAGCAACTATTCATTTTAGTCAAAAATGGAAGAGGAATTAAAGTTTTGTAATTAAATTTTGATCAAGATAGAGTTAGTTGTAATTCGAAAAAATAATTATTGTTATTGCAAAAATCGGAAAAATCATTTAAAAAATTGCCAAAATGCTAGTTTATTTGTCAATTTTTTTCAGACACTTGAATAATACCTAGGATCTTCATACTTTTCCCAATTAAACTTCTTAGTGCATAGAATCATCACACCAAATTTCATCCAATTCGGTTAGATAATTTTTACATAATAATTGTTTAAATTTTTTATTTTTTTTTAATTAAAAAATTTTCAAAATCAAATTTCTAAAAATCTAAAGCCTTTGAATACTTGAAAATTTCACCACAAAAAGAAGAGCTCTCAAGCTTTAAAATGGTTTTTGAAAAATTCAAATCGGACGATTAGGTGAGCCGTGGTGATTGTTTAAACATTTTCGCAATTTTCACGCTTATAAACAATTGCAATAATTTAATGTTTTTTTAAATTTTTTTTTATTTTAAAATATGGTTTGAAAGTACTCGGAAAGACGAGTATTTAAAAAAAAACCTGATGATCCGCCCATTATTTTCGGAGTTATAGCCCGTTAAAGTTAACCCTTATTTACAGCAAAACTATAAGGGTATAAGGGCTGTTTTTTGAACTAATAGGTTTGTCATTCCGAGTACTTTCCAGATATAAATTTTCAAAATTTGCAATCACGGGCGTCCCATTTAAAATGTCACTCAAAGATATTCAAGACCGCGTGAAATCAATGAGGTATCAGTGGTGGGGGGAGCAAACACACAGCTACTCCGATCTGAATTCTCGAGTTCAAAACTGCGACGCTCGGAAAAATTTCACTTATCTCAGCTTCTAATGGACCAATTTCGATGATTTTTTTTTAAATCGATGTCTCGCAACTTAAAAAATTCAATTATCATATTTTCAACTACCTTTTATTATTAATTATTGGACTTTTGACATGCCGATAAACAGTTACTTTAAAAAATGATTAATTTATTATGTTTATTTATTTACTATGTTAATATTCACGACCAAAATTTTTGCATGTTGCACCAGGTAATACTAGTAAGTTTGTTTAAATATTATAAAATTGTTTAAACAATAATTATTTAAATAAACAACTGAAAATTGGTATTAATTTTTAGTTGTACGATAAATTTCTAAAAATCTTTCAAAAAAAAATAAATTGTGAATAATTATAATTTTAATTTTTTCGTTTACTTTTAAAATATTTATCTAAAATTTATTTTTTATTTATAAAAAAAGTATAAGAATCTTTTGGATACTTAATTAATACCAACAACATGGTGCAACATGCAAAAATTTTGGTCGTGAAAATTAACATAGTAAATAAATAAACATAATAAATTAATCATTTTTTAAAGTAACTGTTTATCGGCATGTCAAAAGTCCAATAATTAATAATAAAATGTAGTTGAAAATATGATAATTGAATTTTTTAGTTGCGAGACATCGATTTAAAAAAAAATCATCGAAATTGGTCCATTAGACGCTGAGATAAGTGAAATTTTTCCGAGTGTCGCAATTTTGAACTCGAGAATTCAGATCGGAGTAGCTGTGTGTTTGCTCCCCCCACCACTGATACCTCATTGATTTCACGCGGTCTTGAATATCTTTGAGTGACATTTTAAATGGGACGCCCGTGATTGCAAATTTTGAAAATTTATATCTGGAAAGTACTCGGAATAACAAACCTATTGGTTCAAAAAACAGCCCTTATAGTTTTGCTGTAAATAAGGGTTAACTTTAACGGGCTATAACTCCGAAAATAATGGGCGGATCATCAGGTTTTTTTTTAAATACTCGCCTTTCCGAGTACTTTCAAACCATATTTTAAAATAAAAAAAAATTTGAAAAAACATTAAATTATTGCAATTGTTTATAAGCGTGAAAATTGCGAAAATGTTTAAACAATCACCACGGCTCACCTAATCGTCCGATTTGAATTTTTCAAAAAGCATTTTAAAGCTTGAGAGCTCTTCTTTTTGTGGTGAAATTTTCAAGTATTCAAAGGCTTTAGATTCTTAGAAATTTGATTTTGAAAATTTTTTAATTTAAAAAAAAAATTAAAAATTTAAACAATTATTATGTAAAAATTATCTAACCGAATTGGATGAAATTTGTTGTGATGTTTCTATGCACTAAGAAGTTTAATTGGGAATAGTATGAAGATCCTAGGTATTATTCGAGTGTCTCAAAAAAATTGACAAATAAACTAGCATTTTTTGCAATTTTTTAAATGATTTTTCCTATTTTTGCAATAACAATAATTATTTTTTCGAATTGCAACTAACTCTATCTTGATCAGAATTTAATTACAAAACTTTTTTTCCTCTTCCATTTTTGTCTAAAATGAATAGTTGCTAAGTTGTCGACGAAAAATCCAAGAAAAAAATGAATTTTTTTGCTATTTTTTTATTCTTTTTTGCAATAACAATTAAGCCCACGTTTTTTTTATTTGCATAGAAAAATTATGATTTCTAATGTTGTTTAGAAGCCGTTAAAGCAAAAATCTCCGATCATATGCGTTTTACCCAAGTATACCCTTTATGAAACAGATACCGCCTGGACTATAATGTTATTGTTAAAGAAATAGTTTCTTTATTTAATTGCAAAATAGGTACAGTAAAAATTTAAACAAAAAAAATTAAGGAATCAGAAAAGTTCCCAAATTCTTTTTTTAGTGATTTTTAAAAGGCTGTTATTTCGTCAGCAATGGTCGTATAGAGAAAATAAAAAAGCACCTTGAAATTTGAAGATTCTACTTTTGAAATCTTGAAATGAAAAAATGTTTTGAGCGTCACTCTCGGGGCAATCAAAAGAAATAATGCAAGGCAAAAATTTAGCAATTTTTTTTTGACCATGGGCTCAGAAATTTGTTTTTGGATTAATCAATCAATCAATCCTCAGCTTCAATAGTTTTTTTTTTTATTTTCTGTACGATTATTTCTCATTGAGATATCAGCTATTAAGTGAAAAGTCACCTTTTTCGTGTTAAAAACTCAAATATAGAAAAAAAAATCAAAGTTTGGAATTTTTTCTGGACCTTTAATTCTTTTTCTCAGTGTATTTCAGTAGATGATTTATTGAATCGTTTTAAGAAGAAAGCTTTATTAACGCATGCGCTAAATAGGTTAACTTTCGAGATGCAAAGTTTACACAAACTTAGGCTGCTGATTGAATTAATCGTATATACAGTGTGTTTGGTAAGTCGATGCATTCCTTACAGGAGATTATTGTACAAGTGATTTGTGATATATTTCCTCAATATACCATATTCCGAAAAGGCTTAGTTTTCGATCTACAGGATGTTAAAGTTTTAATAAAAAAATGCAAATTTATAAATATTGCGGAAACCGCTAAGAATATTTTAACGAAATTTTACAGGCTTTGACAGTTAACAACAATACATGTTTTACGATAAAAATATTGTTTTCAATTTCACCAGTGGCGTGCGCACACAATACAAAGCCTGTAAAATTTCATTAAAATATTCTGAGCAGTTTTCGCAATATTTATAAATTTGTATTTTTTTTCAAACTTTAACTCCCTGTAAATCGAAAACTAAACCTTTTCGGAATATAGGAGATATATCACAGATCACTTGTACTGTAACCTCCTGCAAGGAATGCATCGACTTACCAAACACTCTGGATAAGTAAAATTTAGCTGAACTGGTGTGCAACTATGTCAACCTATGGTGAAGATATGGTAAACACTGCCGTTAAAAACCCTTACAGTTTTTTTCTATGAGAGGAAAAATATGTTTCTCTTAAAAGTCAAAATTCCCAAAATATCCAGTGGTGTCGAAATTCCGGGATTCTCAATGGCAGTGTCTCCTTGTATCTACGTAGTGGTTGACATAATTGTATTGTATTGTATTGTATTGTATTGTACATTCAATGATTTTTTCTTATATTTACTCAAATCATCAGCACAAGTTTCATCAGTTTAAGTTAAACAACTTTAAGAATATTTGTGCAAATATTTTTCAAAATATTTAACATCCCGTACCTATATCGAATATTAAGTACTTCTTAATGATCCAAAAAAACATCGCCTGAAATATTTGTACTTACTTCAGCTAAATATATAAATATGCCTATATAAACGGAACCAGGGGAGATTTATCGAAATTGTCCAGCACAATTTTAACAACTTATCTCTTCCGGTTCTTGTTATACAGGGTGACTCGTTCACAATGGTACACACCTTCAGAGAACACTGTTCACATTAAATTATGACAATTTAACTGATTATACTTCTTTGGACATTGATCCTTACCGTTCTACAGGGTGTTAAAGTCAAACAAATATTTTCGAAGTTTTATAACATTTATTTCCTTGAAATCTAGTTCAGTTCTAAATAAAAATGGCACATTTGGT